AACATTATGCTTCCTCATTGTGTGAAGCAAAAAATTCGCTTCCTCGTGAAGGAAGCAATGAATTTGTCCAATTCAATTGATTGATTTAAAAAATTTCGAGTTAAAAATGTTTTAAATTAATTAAATTTTTTGAAAAATAAAGAAAATTTTAATTAATTTTGAGTGTAACATAAACTTTATATATACGAATCGATTCGTTTTAATGCAAGGAATACAATTATTTTATTCATCAACTTGTATTTAAAAAAAACACAAAATTTTTTAGCTAAAATATGAATTTTCGATTTTTTAATTTTTATTAATTCTCAAATTTTAAATCAAATCTATACTTTATATATACCAACCAATTCGTTTCAATGCAGGGAATAAAATTATTTCATATATAAACATGAATTTAAATAAACACATCATTTTTTAGCTAAAATGAGAATTTTTGATTTTTAAACTTTCTTTAATTCTTTAAATTTCAATCAAATCTATACTTTATATATATCAATCGATTCATCTTGACATAAAGAAGACGATTATATTATATATTACCTTAAATTTTTCGATTTAAAAATTTTTTCAATTAAAAAAAAATTTTTGGAAAAAAGACGATAAAATTTTTTTTTTGGGGTATTTTTAAAAATCCTCTCGTCATTTTTGAGAGATTAATGTGTTAAATAAGCCTACCAAATTTTATCCAAATCCATTAAAACCTGTTAAAGATATCGTGTTCACAAAAACGATCCACACACACATACACACACACACACACACACACATACACACACACACACATACACACACACACACATACACACACACACATACATACATCCGGACAATTGATCAGGATCTCATATAACATGTTTCTATGTAGAGGAAAATTTGTTTTCACCATTTTTAAAAAGTTTATAAACGAAAGGACTACATAGCTTCCTCCACGAGGAAGCAAAATAATCAATTTTTTCCGATTTTTTTAGATAGAATGTTTTCCTGGAAAATGAAAAAATCCCTTATAAAATTAAATAAAATTAATCAGCACGTTTCTATTATTTTTTTACCTTAAAACAACACATATTACCTTTAAAAAACCTACCAATTGAACCTAAATTGCAATAGAATAAGAATAATCAATTTTCTTCGATTTTTTAGATAGAATGTTTTCCTAAAAAAAGGAAAAAATCTAGACCTGTGCAAAATAAATCGAACCGAACTGTTCGAATTTTTACTAATAAGCGTTGCAGCTTATTTTAATACCTTATAATTTTTTGTGTAAGGTTACGGTGACGTGACAATTGTTAAGAAAAAAATTCTGATAAATAAAAAAAAAAATTCGTTATTCCTAATAAAAAGAGGAAAAAAATTTTCTTACTTCACTACTTTTTAAATATAAATTAGTAAAAAATTTTAACTAATTTGAATTAGTGACTCACTTTTTGCATTTCAATTAGTTAAAATTTTTTTTTGTTATTCAAATTTAGAGTAAAAAAAAGAAAATATTACTGAATCAATTAGTATAATATTTTACTAAAAATTAGTGATAATTTAAAATTAATTTCAATTAGTTTTAATTTTTTGAAAATTTAGAATGTTTCAAAATTAAAGAGTGAACATACTTTAAATGTTCCAGATGAAGTTTTTATTTATCAGTGTATGAAAATAGTTTTGACCTGCACATTCTGGAAATAGAATAAAACAACCCTGCAATTACACGTTGAAATCCTGGTATAGAACTTTCTTTTCTTTTTTTTTTTTTACCCCCAAGTCCCTGGAATTTCACCCTGGATGATTCTGAAAGTCGAAAAAATGAGGCAATTTTTATGATGATCGCCAAGGCCAATAATAATAATTTCATTTCGCACGCGAGTTGCTTGAAGCACGCGAGCAAAAGGAACCTATATGTGGTTCCAGTGAAATGGCGCCTAGTCACTTTTATATGCTGTTCAGATTCCAATATATATATATATGTAACCCTAAGAAATGCAAGATGCCAGTAAGTAACTACTAAGTATACTTATTTACACGTTTCGCTTATAATTTCAAATATATAAATATATTTCACTAGATTTTTCATTTTCTCCAAAGAAACCAAGAAAAATAGAAATTTATCTCATCTACAACTCAAGAGAAAATACAGTAAAAGTATACCTGGATATATTTTGTAATCAAGAATGATATAATAACATATTAACGTCTATAATGCACGTTTTATGCAAGTTTAAGTGTTTACGAACTGCAGTTTACATGAAATCACTAAAAAGAAATTTTTTTTTTTTTTTTCCCCCGACAACTTGTAATTACAAACAGTATCGTTTTATAATTCACACACACACATTTTTCTTTTCGCAGAACATTATTATCAAAGTGTAGAGAGGAAAAAAAAAATGTGCGGAAAATACAGTTGCTATCATTTAAGAGATCGTTGCTTCACCTAAATCAGATATAAGTATATCGTGCGCTACATATAAAATGAGAGATAAAGAGAAAGAGAGAGAGAGAGAGAAAAAAAAAGAATAAAGCTCGAAAAACGAGCTCCTTGCCGAAGGCGCTAATCTATCGAAAAGGATTCTTGATGGTGGAAGAAAATTTTTTATATGTTCATGAGTCTTGCAATAATCTCGACACCGTTTGTTAGTAGTGTATAAGGTTGGGTATTAGGCTTTAGATATACGTACAGGCAATTCACCCAATGGTTTATGGTGTATTTAGTAGTGCGCCTATAGCCTGTTCATATACCGTATATACATTAATGTTCGTTGGAGGGTATAAAGAAAGCTTCAACAACTCACGGAGAATAGAGAAACAAGAATGTGTATCAGAAAAAGAAAATATTTTTCAAATATCATATTAAAATTTACATTACACACGGAGAAAAAGCTAATTTTTCTCTATTTATTAATTTTTAACTAATAATTAACTGGTGAAAAAAAAATTAGTAACAACACAGAAAATTAAAAGGCATTAAAATAAGCTGCAACGCTTCTTATTTTAATCCAATTTTGCTTATTTTAATCCATTTTGGTATTAAAATAAGTAAAATTGGATTAAAATAAGAAGCGTTGCAGCTTATTTTAATGCCTTTTAATTTTCTGTGAAAAAATTCAAAATGGGAAAAATAATTATTAACTAGTTAATAGTTGTATTAGCTAATAATTGCTATAATAGGAAAATTCAGCTAAATATTGGCTAAATATTAGCAGAAACAGATAAATTTTTTTTTAACTAATTTCAATTTTCTCTTTGAGTATTTTGAAATAATTAATATGGTTCAATAAATTGTTTTCAATAGAACATATATACTTAAAAGCAAATATCAGTGTGAATATTGTTCAATAAAAAAAATTTAAAGAATTTATATTGTGTAATTATTATTATTACTAACACACTATAAAGTTCACCTCTTGACAGATTTTGATTCATTTATTGTAGAGATCGTTGCATGTTCTACATTTACAGCAGATGTTGTGTACACTTTCGATGTACGTATATTGTAAAGATACAATGCAACTGCAATACCAATAATCCTGCGACCAAGTAGAAAACCCACCTTGTACTTTCCTAGGAACATTATTGTACACGCTGATGTTATTTATATTGGAAAATAATATGTAGCAGAGTTGAGAGAGAAAAAAAAAATTCCCGACTTTATAGTGATTGAAAATTTTAAATTTTTTATAAAGTTAAAGTTCGATTTGAATTAGAAAACAAATATCATGGAATATCTCCTTATTCTCTTAAAAGATTTAAAATTTTAGAAATATTTTTATCCTCTTTGGTCCATCGTTGTTTGGATGCTGTTCGTCTATGCATTTTTTGTTCAGCACTATCTGGGGATAACTCTCCTGCTAACCCCGAGAAATAATGTCGAAGATTTAAAAATTTTGTAATTTTTTGTTCACTTTGGTCCATTTTAGTTCGGATGCTGTTGATTACATTTTTTTGTGAAGCACTATCTGTGGATAAATTTCAAAATTTTTTGGTCCACTTTGGTTCATTCTATGCCCGAGAGTTTATCTTAAAAATTAAAATTTTTGGTCCATTTTAGCTCGGATGCTGTTGATTTTATCAAAAAGAGATCCATACATTTTATGTACAGCACTATATGGGGATAACACTTCTGTTGTATCTCCGAGAGTTTATCTCAAAAATTTTAATTTTTTGTCCACTTTGGTCCATTTTAGTTCGGATGCTGTTGATTACATTTTTTGTGAAGCACTATCTGTGGATTAATTTCAAAATTTTTTGGTCCACTTTGGTTCATTCTATGCCCGAGTGTATATCTTGAAAATTAAAATTTTTGGTCCATTTTAGCTCGGATGCTGTTAATTTTATCAAAAAGTGATCCATACATTTTATGTACAGCACTATATGGGGATAACACTTCTGTTGTATGTCCGAGAGTTTATCTCAAAAATTTTAATTTTTTGTCCACTTTGGTCCATCGCAGCTCGGATGCTGTGTTGGTCCAATCAAAATTATTGCTTTTATATATCATTTTTTTGTTTTTTTTTTTGCTATATATTTGCCATAAAGTTGCACTTTGAATGAATTTATAGTTGAGAATATTGTATTGATCAAAAAAGGTAAAATCGTTCACATTGAAATATGTATATATATGTAGACCCCGTATGGACATTGCGAACACTTAAAAAAAACGAACTAGGTGTTCACTTGAGATATTCACTTCCATTGCTTTCATACGCAGTCGTTGAATTTCGTTTTTTTTTTTTTTCCCAACACGTTTCTTATTATAACATTCCGATACTCGCATGTTCTATAAATTCAGAGGACACCGTTGATTGCATCAGGAAGAGTTTGTTACATGCTTGTCACAACAATGATTTATAACAAGTATACACAATCCTTGCGGCAAGTCCGCGAAACGAATTAAATTAAAATCATTGAAATTAATATCATAAAAAAATTTTTTGATTTTTTTTTTAGCGCACCACAAGACTTTTCATAAATCGTTAAACATTGTATATCAGCAAAATGTGAATTATTATATCATATAAGAAATATTCTTACTATATTGATCAGCGGGAAATTATTTATTTACATAATTTTAAAAAAATATTCATATAAATTATTTTATCACTTATTTTTTTTCTGCTTCTTTTTAGTAGATTTTTTCTTTTTTCCTCTATCATTGGAAATGTGAGCTGTTTTTGTGGATTTTTCCTCTTTTGATAAATATCGAGAACTTGGTGAAATGATAATTAAATTTTTAATAAAATTATCATAAAATTGTTGATAGTTTGATGATAAATTGATTTCTGATAATTTTTGTGAAATAATTTTTGAATTATTGTTAGATACTTGAAAAAATTCGTATTCAGTTCCTAGATGATATTTTTTAATTATAAACGACTGTGCTTGTGGTCGATAATATGAACTAACGGATCTAAATAAAAAAGAAAATTTAATTTTTATTTTTGCAAAACAAGTAATTTTTTTTTTCAATTACCTGCCACAATTAACAAGAGTTGCTTTTATAGAGATTTTTCCTGAAGGATTTTCGCCAGGATCCAAAAGATTAAATTCACCATCGATTGTAAAGTTTTTTGAAAGATTTTTTTTTGAATCACTCGATATCTGATTAATTTTTATATCAAAATAATAATAAAATGAAGATAAAAAATTTGTAATACATTAAAAAAGTGAAAATTAATTTTTATCAAAAAAAAAAAAAAAAACTAACCAAACTGCAAGCACAGCCAAAAAATGGAATTTCAACTTGACACAATGGAAAAGAATCGCCCTCTCTGTAAATACCAATTTTCAATGGATATTCCTTTAAAATTGTAATTAATTCATTGATTTTTTTGGCAAAATATTGAAATTCTCCTGCATTGAAAATAAATTCATAAAAATTGTCAACGGGCAAAATTTTCCCTCGCAAACAATTATCTCTAATTATAATTGTCGGTAAATTTTTAAAATATATTTTAACTAAAAATATTGTCTCTCCGGCATCATTGACAATATTTGAATGAAGACGAATATGAGAGACAAATATGTTAAAGAGAAAAATTTCAGACATGTCGTCGTCACGAAGACTTGTTTTTAATTAACTTATTGCAAGATTAATCAGGTTATTCAACTTGTCAAATATGTCATTTATGAAAACTTGAATAACGTTAATAAAAAAAAAAAAAATAGGTATATACATAAACAAAATAAATGAAAGTGAATTTATTAATAGAATAAAAGTGAGAAGTATTAAAATATTTATATAAATAAAATATTTGAAAAATATAATTTGATAATGAAAATTTTACATAATCTGAAAGTTGGAAATTTATTTTTGGACCAATGAATAAAACAATGAGAACACGGAAAATATATATATATATATGAAACGAAGGGTCAATTATTGTAATTAAGATGCCAAGGAGGCGGAACTTCTTCAAGGGGTCATAAGGCATCAACGGCATTCATGTCAACATCCGCATTATCAGCCTCACTAGCAATTTAATCTTTGATTGGAGGTATATCTGTCCTCGCAGATTCCTCTCTCGGTATAATTTCAATCGCAGAGCAACTGTATACACTTAACTTCTCACTCATCTCTTTTTTTTTTTTCGTTTTCTAAAATAGTATATTATCTTTTCAAACGTATATAACTATTTTCACTTATTTACTGCTCTCAATAATATGTTACCATCATACTCGTAATGAACGATTCAAGCCATAAACTATTTTCACTAAAAAATTTATATATATATTCTCAATTCAAGAATAAAATCTACAAAAATATATATTTCTATTTATAAAATATAAAACAAAATAATAACTGTGGCGATATTTATTAAAAATATAAAAATTAAGTAATTAATAAAAAAAAAATAATTAGCAAATTTCAATTTGAAAAATTGAAAATTCTCATAAATAAAAATTTATTAAAATCGATTTAATATTACTCAAAGAAATAACAAGTCCAAAGCAAGTGGAGGAAAATTATACCATATATTTTAATATATAGAGAAAATTTATAAAACTATTGCTGGTAATGATCGCGTATTTTAAAAGCGTCAGCATTATTAGATATTCTTAATCGCGTGTAGAGCACGATAACGATTTTAAGATTAACAGAGAAAGAGAGAGAGAGAGAGAAAGAGAACACTATAATTTTAACTTTGCAATCAACCGATGATAGAGATCATCTCATTCTAAATTGGTTAAAATTACAACCGCGATATTTAATATCGATCGGAAAGATTAATCAGACAATTTCATTTTTCTTGATGAAAAAAAAAAAATAAGAATCATTTCCTCGATTTTATCAGAATTATACCAAAAAAAAACTTGAATTATCAAATTGGAATTTCTTTGGAAAATTTGCTAAAAATTTATTTATTTTTTTTAAAAATTTATGTTTCATAGAAAGATGAGAGAAAGAGACCCCCTAAAGAGAAAATTAAAGTCAAAAGAATTACTTAAAGAGAATTACGTAATCAACAAGCTGAATCGATTAAAAAATTTTTTTTCCACCAAACTCTCTCGACAGTATAAATACTGAAAACATTATTAAATGACGTGATTGACGGCTTTAACATATTGAGTAGGTCCACAATATTTTTTGCCTCCTCTTCAAGGCATTTTATCGTCATGAGATGAGAAGAAGGAAGCAAAATGGGAAAAAAAGAAAAGAAGCAGAGAAAAGAGAAGAGGGTATTTATATATATATATATATATATATATATAAGAAACGCTCTCAAGTTCCTCGTTGTTTTCTAGCTCACGTTGATTTATAAAGCGCCTACGGTCGCGTTGCAGCACTTTCGCAACTTTATTGGCTATGACCCGTGATGAAGCACCCATACTGGACATTACATATCGCTTCATGTGCAATATTCTTCGATACATAGAGTCTTCTATTTTATTTCTAGCGCAAGAAAAAAGGTACCTCAAAAAAATTTTTTCCCTCACTTTATATTCAATTTAATGATCGTTGAAAATAATTTTCAATATACAAATTATTTTGAAATTGTTCTCAATATCAGGGAATGCTATGTTATTAAATTTTTCTATTCTTTTCATTCAAATATTAATATTAATTAAATAGGTAAAAATTATTGATCTAAAAATTTTATTCTTATTACTCACTAATATAAATTTAAATTAGTTAAAAATTATTAATTTGATAGCAAAATGTTATTCACTGATTTAAATATAGTAATATTTTTACTAATATTTTAGTTAAAAAATAAAAATCAATAACTATATATCTAATTATAACTAATTACTAATAACTAATTATTATATTGTCAATTCACTATTTAATCATGTACTAAGTACTCTTTTTTACTAATTGGTGAGGCAAAAAATCAGCAAATATTTTTCTAAAATTTATTTTTACCCCAATGAAGAATAAATTACATTTAAAAATTTGCAAAGAATTTATCAATAGCTTCTTCTTTTTTCTTGTGCAAAATTAAAATTAACACTTGAATAAAAATGTGTAAAAAAAATTTAGTTTTTATACTTTAAGCCGTAGTCAATAAAAAAAAAAGAAAAAAAAATATTGATTCGCTCTTCGCGGTTATTTTACGTAACGAATTGATTTAACGTTACTTCTTGCTAAAATGAACAAGAAGCTCTTTGTTTGTCCTAATTTTTATTTAACTCACAATAATGATTCAAAAAATCCAAACATAAAAATTTACTAGAAATCAACTTTTTATCTTCTATTCTTTATTCGACAAAAAAAAAAAAACAACCGATTTGTTTTCAGTGATACAAACACATAAATAAAAAAGAAAACAATTATAATTTTAATAATAACTAATAATTATTATATTTATATTTTAATTATAATAATAAAATTTTTATTTTAATATCTATAGTATTCTCGTTTTTAAGAGTTTTTTTTTTAAACTTTTTTATAAAATTCTTTTGATCGTGAAAATGCAAATATATATTTCTATATTATAAAAAGAATTCACCGCAGCCGCCGCCGCTGATTCAGAAATTTTGACAAGGATGGGTCATTCCATGTCAAGTGTACCCAACCCATGGTTTTGACAAGGTTAGATAAGGGTGAGCCAACCCATGTTTTTAACATGGATAGTACAATAGTTGGTTACACTTGATATGGAATGACCCATATGAATATAGCTGCAAGTCCCCCCTCTCCTCCCCATCCCTGGCAAAAAATGACCTAAATTTTAAGGTTATGTTCGTTTCAAGACTCTGAATAGGGTCCCCCCTCCCTTACCCTCTCTCCGTATTTCCCACCAAAAATGACATAAATTTTGAGGTTATGATCGTTTCAAAACTGAATAGGGTCGAAAGTCCTCTCCCCCACCCCTCTCTCCGTATTTCCCGCCAAAAGTGACCTAAATTCTGAGGTTATGTTTGTTTCAAGACTCCTGAATAGAGCAGCAAGTCGTTTCCCCTTCCCTCATCTCTCTCTCCGTATTTCCCGCCAAAAATGACATAAATTATGAGGTTATGTTCATTTCAAGACTTTCAATATAGCCGCAAGTGGAGGTAGATTTCCTGCCAAAAATGACCTGAATTTAAAGGTTATGTTCGTTTCAAGACTGTGAATATAGTCGCAAGGCCCACCCTCCTTCCTTACGTTGAAGAAGAGGTGGATTTTCCGCCGAAATTGAAAAAAAATTTTAAGGTTAAGTTATTTTGTCGGAAAACGACCAAGAAACAAACATAACCTCAAAATTTAGGCCAAAATTTGACGCAAAAAGACAAAGGAACAAACATAACCTTAAATGTAAATCAAATTTTAGCTGGAAAATTCAAAAAAATTAGATAAATTTTATTTTAAAAATTGAAAATAATAAAAATTATTGTTAATAAAAATCGTAAATAACATTTAAAGAAATAAATAATAAAATATTAATAATAGTTTTAAATTCCAAAAATTGTCTAAACATTAACTTAAACATCTACAAAACCAATAAAAAATAGGGGGTTGGCGCGTGAAAGCCCCCCTAGTATATATATATATATATATATATATATATAAATATCTTTAATCACATGTATTAGTCATGTGCCAAGAGAGGAGTTACCATCGTTATACTCGAGTCGTGAACTCCGTGTGGACTGCGCTATTTTCTATAAGGTGAGTCTGAACATTTGTTTACAATAGGACTAAAATTAAGCCGTGGGACGTTGCTATTTCAGTTCAAGGAATTTTTTTTTTTTTCTTCTCTTTGAAGACAAGTAAATACATTGGTAAAAGCAGAGCATTCTGTGGAGTTGGTGAAGCGAGCAAATGAAAAGGGAGTTCGAACTCAGATGGAGAGGCGTGACATTAGCGTGCTAAGCACATGCAGATGAAACAAATGGATTCGCTCGGTGACCGCCGTAAATTCAAGACTATCGTTGACACAATCCTTTACACCCTCAAACGAACTTTTTCCTCTCCTCCTTTACCATCTTGTCCTCCTTCCGTTCCCACCTCTTTCAGTATATATATATATATATATATATATATATATATATACAGCACACTTTTCCACACGGAGTTTGCAACGACGTCGTCGTTTCTTATATCAGAATTTCACGACGAACAACAACGTCTCTTGGCGCAAAGAGATGTAACCGACAGTATATATATATATATATATATATATATATATAAAAGAGAGGCGGAAATTTATTGACCCGAGACAATCTTGTCCCTTTAAGTACGCGTTGCACTCGAATAACTTAATGTTTCAAAAATTTATCTACGCGCATTGCCTTTTACAAGGAAAATAGAAAATTATTATTTCTATTTTATAATATTATTATAATTATTTTTAGTAGTAAGGAAAAAAAAATTAAAGGCAAATTATAAAATCGTTGGAATAAAAATCGAGGAGGCTTTACAAACTTACGTCTAACTGTAACTAACTTTTTCTACTAAATAACAAAATATAGATTATATATAAATTAAAAATTTTTTATTGTCTAACTATCAACGTCATATTCTACTAATTATAGTTTTATAAGAATTTAAATTGTTCTGTCTGTCTGTAACTTGTTTCTTTTACTAATAAAAATTACCGTCTTGTCTGACTAAAAATGCCTTTTTCTACTATGTACAGATTTAAATGAATTTAAACTGTTTTGTCTA